CTTCATTATTATAGCTCTAAAACAGGTCTTAAAATTTGGTAAATCCTTTAATGATATTTTGTTTTTTGTTTAATTATTATTATGGCTTTACCTTTTGATACAAATTTTAGAATAATACAAAATTATTGATTGAATTTTTAAAATTTCTTTTTATTTTATATGTTGAGTGCTTTGCATATGTGCATGCGCGTGTGCACACACACGCACGCACACACACACACACATATATATATATATATACATTTCTTCATGGAGGCCAGAAGAGTGCATTGGATCTTCTGGAACAGTAGTTAATGTAGAAATATATAAATGGTTCATGTATGTTTATCTTATACACTGACTAGGTTCATATTACTTATGCTAGGAGATACTTTATTATTTCAAATTCATTGGCATTTTCAGCATACAATCAGAACATCTGCAAATGGTGAAAATATTTCTTCCCTTTTAAATTTATATACCCTGTATTTCCTTTCTTATTTTAGTGAATTTATAAGAACTTCTGATATTACATTGAATGAAACTGTGAGCACTCATTTTTTTTTCTAGGAGACAAATATTCAGTCTTTTTCCAGAATATGTACTGCTTAACTGTGTGTTTTAATAGATGGTATTTATCAAGTTGAAAAAGTTCCATTTCTGATATTTTCAAAAGCATCTAATCATGAATTAATTCTGAATTTTAGCATATTTTCTGCTTCAGTTATATGGCCATCTTATTTCTTTTTATTATGTAATATGTATTTAACTTTTGATACTGTCTGACTTGCTTGGCCAACCTTGCTTGGCCATGCTTATAGTAACTCTTTTTATATATTATGCAGTTTGTATTTCAAACATTGTGTGAATATATGTATTCATTGTCAATATGAGTACACATTTTTCTTTTCTGTTACAGTTGTCACCTGGGTTTTGTTTTATAGCAATGCTAGTTTTCTAAAATGAATTAGGAAGACCCTTCTCTTGTCTGAAGGAAGTCATTGAGTTGGTGACAACTCTTCAAATATTTTGTGGAAATTTTTAGTGAAACCATGTGAGCCTGGAGATTTCTGAGAATGTAGAAATATGAATCAATATTTCTTAATAGTTTTAAAGCTATTAAATTATTTGATTCATACTGGGGAACTTGTGATAGCTTGTGATTTCTAAAGAACTGGCCCATTGTATCTGAGAAATCCATTTTATGTGTGTTGAGTTTTTGCTTATGATCATTTTGATGACTGGATTTTTGGTAATTACAATTTTATGTCTTATAAGCTATCATTTTACTTCTAGTAAACACAGTGCTTTAAACAAGATAAAGGCTGGGGACATGGCTAAGTGAATAAAGTGCTTGCTGCAGAAGCAAGAAAGCTTGATTCTTAATCCCAGCACCCAGGAGCTGTGCCCTGTGTCTACAGCCCCAACACTAGGAATGTGGTGGGTGGTAGAGACAGGTGGATGCTGGAGTCCTCCTAGCCTGCCAATCTAGCTAAAATGGTAAGCTCTAGGTTCAGTGAGAGATCTTGTCTCAAAAACTAAGGTAAACATGAGTGAATATAGGCAGCTAATTTACATAAACCAACTAAATGTAAATTTTTAAGTTAGTATCTGTTTTATGATTTAAAAAATGTCCATGTTGATTTTAAAACCTATACTATACTCCTTTCAGAGACCTAGCTACATTGTGAACAATTATCTTGGAAATTCTTTAAATTTTTTGTACTAAGACCATATTGCTAAAGACACTACGTGCATAAGCTATAGAACAAACAAGGAGAAATCAAGTAGATACTTAGTTCAATGCCTTATCTGTGCTGGCTAGCTTTCATTGTGCCGGAAGGCACCATGCATGCTACAGGAAAAAAAAAAAACATAATCGTCAACTTTTTCCAGCTGGGACTTTTGTGAACCACAAATGGCCTGGCAAGATATGCCCACTGGTATAATAGTGGCATGGAGATTATGCAACAACCAACCACTTTCTCATGGATTTGAGGTTTGCTTCATGGTATGGAGCCCATACTTGACATTGATTATCAGACCTAGGAAACTGAGGCTACACTGGTCACAGAGCATAAGAGAGAGCCTAATAATAGTTTTTCTGCAAAATAGTTATAGTATCAAACTGACCCCTAATGACTTATTCCCATAGACTGATTCATCTTTCAACTCTCACCAGAGAAGTTCCCTTGTGCAGCAGATGATGATTAATACAGAAACCCATAACTTGTCAAGCACAGAAAACAAGAGGTTACAGAGTGCTTATCCCCAAATAGGATACCTCTGTGAAACTTCTGGCTCCCAGGGTTAAGGGATCATTAAGAAGAGAGGGTGGAAAGATTGTAAGAGCCAGAGATAGTGGATGACCACAAGGAAATATTTTTCCAGACAGCCAAACAGTTACTCATATGAACTCACAGCAATGGTGACAAGCATGCACAAGTCCCATGCAAGCTCAAACCAAACAAAATTCCAGCACAGATGTGAGAAAGTAGGTAAGAAACCCCAGGCCTACCTGAGAAACTATTGGCAACTGATAGCTACAGGGAAGTGGAGAGTCTTTTTCAAGGATGTGACTCTTGTTAGGTTAACCAGGCTCCAGTGGATGGGCCTACACTGAAGGACATTTAGGGACTCAAGTTTGACTTGATAGACCATATTATATACACAAATTAAGCTGGGTTGGGGACAATAAGAGAAGGTGTGCATAATTGCCATCAAATGTATTATGTAATAGCAAGATTTCAATTAAAAATTTAAAATATGATATTTCTGATTTTTCTATGTTCAGGCTGTGGTTTATCTGTTCTAATTTTCCGTCCATCTTGGTACTTTAACTGAAACTAGAAAACAAATCTCTTTGTTCCCATTCCTGAATCTTCAGCCCAAAGGCAAAAGTAGTGGTGACTAGTTGACTCTCAATTTCTCTCCCTCCCCCCCCCTCCTTTTTCTCCCTTATCTATGTCTCTGTACACTCTCCCTCCCCAGTTTTCCATGAAGGATTTTATAAGGGCAAGTAGACTTTTGTCCATAATATTTGGCTTTCAAAGATGGAAAGCAGAAAGTACCACACTTTTTCAGGATAGCCTTGGAACTCGTATTGTGTCAACTCTGCTGCAATCTAAGAATCACAGCAAATCCAAGGCTAGCTCAATTTATAATGTGAAGAAAATGTCCTTTGGGATTTTCCTAGAGCTCCTTAACCAACTCCTGTTTCTTAGAACACCCTCAGGAGCTGAGTACTGTCCTGAGCCTGAGATGTTCTTGATGTTAACAAAACTTTATTTAAAGGGAATTTTGTCTATTTTTAAAATATGTGGAAAGACTTTCTGAAAGATTTTTGTTTAATATTTAAAATCTGTATTTTGTTTAAAAGTCAGCAAAATATACTTGGACTTACACAGTTTTCTTTATAATTCTAATTAATGTTTATATGTTACAAATCATATTATATTTAAGTTCACAATAAAATGAAAAAGGATGTCTTATGCATGTTTTATACTACTTCTCTATTTTTAATGTCTTATGTAAAACACAGTACAGTATCAAATTCAGAATATGAAACTGGTATAATTCAATTTTTTAGATAGTGTACTGGTCCCCCTCCCTGCCCATATTCTCTCTCTTCTGCTACCTCTCAATATGTACATTTAATCTAAATTGTAGCTTTATGTAACCATTACTAGAATGAAGGTCCTAAACCAAGGTATACTATCTTGAAAATACACCCCCCTGCTACCCTTGTATAGCACATCCCTAACTTTGCAACCACAAATCATTGTCCTTCTTTGTAATTGTGCTATTTTGAAAATCCATAAATAAAATCATGACATTTGTATTCTTTTGAAATTGGATTTTTCATGTTATTTCCTCAGCAGCATTTCCTTGAAGTCTGTCAGAATTGTTCCAGGTGTAATAGATCTTTCCTTTGTAATGTTGACTAGTATTTCAGAGTGTAAAGGTAGCAGTTTATGTAACTATTCACCCACTGAGGCACCTATGTGTACATTCCAGTTTGGGGTCTATTGTGAAAAAATGCCTTTAAACATTTCTGTGCACTTGTCATACATCTTTATTTCCCTGGTATACACACACATACAAACAGACACACACACACAAACACACACACACACGTGTGTGTGTGTGTGCACATCTAAATGAAGTCAGTGATCACAGTAAGAAATCCATTGTTAATGTCAGAAAGATTAGCCAAGTATTTTTCATAGAGGTTATATCATTTTATATAATTTTTTAAGTTCAAGAGAAATTTTATTGATTCAAGAATTTCATACAATGAGTTTTCATTATATTCAGACCTCTTCCCCCATCTCCATTTCCACTCACACCCTACTACCTCCTCACCCCACCTCCACTTCATTTCATATCTTCTATTAGCAAATGACATGCCCCATCCATCTTACACAGCACTTTTGAACTGGCTGGCAAAGAAATCATATCTCATTAGAGTGTCAGTGATCTCTAATTCTTACACTCAGGTGGGCCAAAGTAAGGACCCATTCCCTTTTATTTGTCTTCAGAATATGCTCAGGTTTCTTGGAATGGGATTTTCACTTCTTTTCCTCTTACACACTACTTAGCAATGTCAAGTAGGGATTTCTTTTTCTCAGTGGTCAGAAACACTTGGTCTTCCTCACTGTGTGGAGGTTACACTTTGAGTGTTGCAGGCCAGTGACCCCAAGGTGATCCAAGGCATTCTTCATCAGATTATTTCTCCACAGGGTTTTACTGTAGTTAAAAGCAGAAGCTAGGTCCTCACAGCAGGCAGAAATTAGTTCACAGGCCTCTAATCTAAAATTCTCTGAGTGGCAGTTGGACGTTTCATAACTTCACACAAAGGCTTTATACCATGTCCCCTAGTTTATTTTCTGAAATCTCTGGACTTCTCAAATTCCTAATGTTTTGCAGTTAGGTACTGATTTGCAGTTAGGTATTGACAGTCCCTGGGTAGTGACGATGGTTGGCTGGGCATGGGTGCCACAGGTCGGCTCTGCCCTGCCAGTGTTATAGTCCTTGTATGAATCAAAACTCATACTGAACAATGCATTTTGTATTGCAAAAGAAGATTTATTTTTGCACCTGTCTTTCATTCCTTTGTCCAGCAGTTGAACAATTACATGCAAGGTACTTATCATTTTATATTTTCATCAATGATGTGCAATTGGTCGAATTTCTTTACAACCTCACCAAAATTTGGATTTATTAATTCTTAATAAAATTTTAAGTTAAACTGATAAGGCATACTCGAGCATATACTTAATAAATTTCAAATTGTGTTTTTGGGATTGTCATTTGTAAAATATGTTCTCTCCCTCTTTTATTGAATTTATTACCTTGGTTAGCTTTTTGCTTAATGCAATAACTATACATAGAGTTTATCATTTACAAATAAAAAATTCAGATTAAATTCTATATTGGTATATTAGTCAATATCATTATTTCAGTATTTCATAAAATTGTCTTTCACCTTTTGCAATTTTTTACAAATATGTAGGAAACAGCAGATTCTGCCAGTTTTCCCTGAGAATTATAATATGGTTTGATATTTTTTCTTCTTCCATTTATTTATTTTTATGGGGCTTTTGGCTACTCTAACATTTGCCCCTCTGGAGAAATAACCCTAAAATCTTTTAAGGATTAGATACAAGCTCCAAAATACTTTTGACATTTTTGGCCTTTGGAACAGAATATGTTGTTAACAGTACAAAGGACATTTTGACTTTTAGCCAAGAAACTGGCAACTTTTCTTTGGGGTCTTTTTATTCTAACTGCCTAGCCAGTTCCTACATCCTATTCTTATCATGCCATCCCCTTAAGGGGTTACCCAAATTGCCTATAGGGAATAAGGACTAAGACCACTCTGGCTTCTTCCATGCTGAACAGGGATGCAGGGTGAGGCAATTGGAGTACCCCTTCAGTGGGTCTATCTAAAAGACTCCCAAATTGCATAACTTATCTCTAAGGGGAAAAGAAAGTCCTTGAATCATGAATAGGAGATGTGAAGGAGAAGTAAAGGCAAGAGTAATTAGCATTACAAGTTCTAGACAGGGAACTAGAAAAAAGTCAGAACAGGGCAATTTTCAAATGTTCATATGAGAGTCCACTGGAATTTCTTGACAAGGGCTTCCAAAAGCATCCCTCTATTGGGTTTTTCCTCATTTTTCTTTTGTCTTCCAAGGCTGGACTCTAGAGTGTTGGATTCAGGATTTGCTTTCAGGTATTTTGATAGCTGTTGGAGTAGTTAGAATCAATGTCAGTTCCTGCTCAAAGGCTTCTAAATAGGGGGAGAAAACAAATTTATCCATCATTTTAGAACAATAGCTGGTTCTCGCCCTTAGCTACAGGTGGGCACTACAGTAATGGAGACTAAGATTTGAAGTCTTACATCTGAGCAGTACTTTCTGTTTAGGAACAAAATCATCAATGAGAAATAATTGTCTAAATAACTTTTTATATAGACTTAAGCCTAATGTCTGGGAAGCGTATTCCATTGAATTCTTAAAGAAGTATACTGATGACTTTACTCTTTTGTTATGCTTTCTTTTTGGGTGTTTAAGACCATACAATTGGCCCAAATAAATCAGTTTATTTTGTTCAGAAAATTTTTACTTTACATTATGTGTGTTAAAATTGAGGAATATATTTAATTGTGTCCACAATGAATTTCAAATTCAATACTCAGATTCATATTTAAAGAAATCTTTAGTGGGGGGCTAGAGAGATGGCTCAGCAGTTAAAAGCACTGGCTGTTCTTGCAGAAGACCCAGGTTCGAATACCAGCACCCACATGGCAGCTAATAACAGTTTGTAACTTCATTTTCAGGGGCTCTGTCACGCTCTTCTGTCCTCTGCAGACACTGCACAACATGGGTGGACTTACATACATTCAGGAATAACATTCCTACACATAAAGTAAAAAAAAAAAAATACTTTAGTTAGTAAACTTTCAATTTGTTAAAATCTGAATTTACCTGTATAGACTTACTGGTATTCCATCGTGTTGTTAGCATAAAACTTTTGGCAAATGCAAAAGCTTAGCAAGTGTAGGAAAGCCTGTCAGAACTATTCTTTATCCTAGTGCAGGTGAGCCTGTGGGACCCATATTCTTTAAATATGAATCTGAGTATAGAATTTGAAATCCATTGTGGACTGCACATGACTTTTATCTCTAAGATCTTTTGATCTCTAACATGCACATGGATGACTGCACATATTTCAAAGGCTAATTTAAAAATGAGGAGTTGGAGAGATGACCGAATGGTTAGGAGCACTGACCTCTCTTGAAGAGGACCTGGGTTTGATTCCCAGCACCAACATGGTGACTAATAACCATCCCTAGCTCCAGTTTCAGCTCTCAAATTTAGAACTTATGGCTTACTCAGTGGGAGGCAACTCACGTGTGGTATTGTAAACACAGCCAAATATATGTGGCTGAAGAGATCATATAGCCTAGAGAAAAGCATGCTTATGTAATTCCTCTAGACTAATGTAATTTCTTTCTCTATTCTAAATACTTATCCTTATATTTATGCACAAGTGTACCTCTCACCACTCATCAACGATGCTCTTTTTGCAAACCAGATGGAGACTATTACAAAGTTCCACATCTGGTCAAACACAGAGAATGTGTCTGTGAAGTGCTCAGCCCTAAGTGGTACATCTACAGTGCAACCACTACTAGACCTAAGGTTCAGGGAACATAGCAGAATAGGAGGCAAAAAGAATATCGATAAATTTCTCAGTCCTCACCAGCAAAGCTTCCTCGTGAAACAAATGATGACTAACCCTGAAAGCTACAACTGGCCAAAATGCTGAGACTTCAGAGAACTTAACCCTGGGATAGTATATGTATATGAAATCTCTGCCACCCCTGTTTTAGGAACAATTATGGAATATCAGGATTGGAAAGATTGTAATAGTCAAAGGTGATGGATGAACACAAAGAAACAGTCTTTCAGACAGTTGGAAAGTTATTCATATGAACTCACAGCATTGGTAACAAGATCCATGCCAGCTGAAGCCAGACAAAATTCCAGCACGGAAGTGGGTTAAGAAGCCCCAACCTTGGCTAAGGAACTATTGACAACTCATAACCATTGGGCAAGAAAGAATAGATTTTCTTTAAGGGATTGATGATGATAAATAGGTAGACCAATGAATAGATTGATAGATGTTAGATATATAGATGATAGATTATAGATAGACAGATGGAGAGATAGGCTCCAGTGGATGGATGTACACTAAAAGATATTTGGGGGCACAAACTTGACTTTATAGGCCTTAATATTTATGACCGTGTACAAGAAATTCAATGGTGGGGATGTTATAACAGGGTCAGGTATAAGGGATGAGTTCTAATTGTGATCAAAATATATTGTACAAAATTTGCAAAAATTCAATAAAAAAGAAGGAAAGAAATATTCTGAAAAGAAAACTCAGGCCCACATTGCTTTAATGAGTGTTGCTCAAAATTTAATAAAGAAATAGAACTTATCCTACACATAATCTTTCAAGAAAAATAAAGAAAAAATAATATCAAAACCCTAAATGAAACTGAACGAGAAAAGCACAATGAAAGACAAATTACAGGCCAGACCTTCAAGATTTGGAACAACAATGAGCAGATGTGTTCCAGTGAGAGAGTAAACACAAAATACATCATATACAAGGAAATTTATTACATAAAAAAAATCAGGTTAGGATCTAATCAGGTAATTTAGTATTCTGTGTTGACATGTTAAGGATTTATATCATTATCTTAATAAAGGCAGAAATGTACAGATCAAAATTCTGCACTTACTCATTTTCAAAATAATAAAACAACCATTGGACAAGGAAGAAAATGTGACTTCTTTAAATTCATAAAGACCATGAACAAAAAATGAATTACTAAAATTACATTTAATGTGGAGCAGAGGCTATAGCCAAGCAGAATCAGGAATACAGATGTTTTTTCTTGGCATTCCTGTTCAGCATTTTGTCTCAGCCTGTAAAATCACTTGAGTGAAGAAGAAAATTAAAATTAATGAATTAGAAAAGCATGAGTTAAAGTATCTTTAATCATTGATTACATGATCATTAAGTGGTTATTCTAGGTTATCATAAAAATGACAAAATCTGATTTGGCACCATTGGGAGAAAATGTGAAATTAAGAACAATTAGAGTATCAAAATTTAAAGTGAAAAGAAGCTTGTTAATGCGTGATGTATGATATACTTGTCTGTAAATATAACGATCCATGTTTAGCATATGGTAAGAGATTTCATTTGTCTAGAGATATGACAGACAGAGGGTTTTCTCTAGGATCTCTGACCTTTCCAGCAATGTGTATTTGGCTCTGTTTGCAGTGCCACTCATGAGTTCACTCCCACTGAAAGGACTTTAAGTTCAATTAGATAGCTGTTGATTGCCTCCTAGATAACAGTGCCACTACTGCACCAATAGAGGTACTTTGCTCTGGCCAGTCATTGTGGTTATTAGGCTTCAGGGCTGGTTTGACCATTGATTTTCACCCTTAGCAGCTTGCAAACTCTCCTCTAGAACACATCCTTTTCTCTATGACTTTGTTGTTCTTCCCATCAAGAAATTTGATGTATATTGTCTTTATTTTAATTAGAAAAGAAAGTAACACCCTTAATCATACATTTTCTTACATGTTTTTTGTGTTGCTTGATTCTCCTTGCCTGTTCCTTTCCCCCATCCCCCTTGTGTTGCTTGTCCCTTTCTATTCCCACCTTCCACTTTTCTGTCACATGTGTTCTATTACCCTCTCTACTTCTCTTCTTTAAAATACCTTTTCCCTTTCCTGCACCCTTTCTAGTTTCATGTCCTTAATATTACATTCACTCTAATAAATACACATATGTAAAAATTAGAAGGATCAACATATGATAGAGGACATTTGGCATTTGTCTTTCTAAGTCTGGTGAAGCTCAGTTAATATAATTTTCAGATATATACATTTTGTTGCAAATTACATAATTTTATTTTTATGATTCTGTTTTCTTGCTATTGTGAATAGAGCAGTAATAAGCAAGGATCGATAAGTTTCTCTGTGGTAGGATAAAGAATCCCTTAGGTATCAGTCCAGGCATGAAATAGGTGGGTCTTATGGCTGTTCTATTTTTAATCCTTAAAAATTTTTATTTATAATTACTTTTTAAAAGTTTATGTGTGGGGGCATATTGTCTGCATGTACATAAGTGCACCTGTGCCATGCAATGCCCACAGAGATTAGAAAAGGGTGGCGGATCCTCTTGAACTGGAGTTATAGGTGGTTGTTACCATCATGTGGGTGCTGGGAACCAAATGTGGGTCCTCTGCAAGAGCAGCCAGTGTTCTCTCCAGCCCCATTTTTTAATTTTTTGAAAAACCATCACAGAGGTTTCCATTGGCTACATCAATTTCCACTCACACAATTGTGAATAAGTATTCTCTTTGCCCATATGCTCCCCACTTTTAAAAATATTTATTGACCATCTCTGTTTCTTCTATTAAGAACTTCCTGGTTGGTTCATTGGTCTATTTATTGGTTGGCAGACTTCTTTTGTATTTTTTTGTATTTTATATATTTTACATATTCTAGATATTAAAATCTTACCTTAGGTATGCCTGGTAAATATTTTTTCCCTATTTTGTAGACTTTCCCATTTTGTAGACTTTCTGTTCACTCTGCTGATAATTTATCTGTACAGAAGTGTTTTTTTATTTTATGTAATCTTTTTTTATTAGTTCCAGGTCGTTTCTTGTGATGTTAGTCCTATTCAGAAAGTTATTGCCTATACCTACACTTTGATATGCTCTCCCTATGTTTTGCTCTAGCAATTTCAATGTTTTGGGTTTTAGATTAAGATTCTTTTCATCCATTTGAGCTAATTTTTATGCAGGGTGAGGTATATGGATCTAAATTCATGCTTCTGCAGGTAGATAACCAGTTTTCTCAGCACCATTTATCAAATAGGCTTTTCTACAATGTATATTTTTGACACCATTAAAAATTAGATGACCATGGCTGTATGGGTTTATTTCTGTGTTTGTTATTCTGCTGTAAAATGTCTATTTTACTCATGTCAGTTTAGACTTGGTTGTGAGATTGACTTTGACCTGTGAATCATCAAATGCAGCACAAATGTTTATAGGTTGGTTTGCTCCAGATTACCTTCTCTAGGCCACAGCTGGCAGTATGTGCTTAACATACAAACAATTGGAACCCATATTTTGGAGAAGTTGTATCTCGAAGATACAAAGTGCTTTGGATGGTAGTCTTTCTCCTGCTAGATTGGGGTCACAAGAGACACTCGTACTGGGCTTGAAGGAAGACTCTGGTGCAAGAGTGAAGCATATCATAACCAGCAGAAAAGTTGCCCATTCAAGCTGTACAGAAATAGATTAATTGCTGTACAGAAATAGATTACTGATGCAACAAATAAAGTATTAAGAAAAACTGCTCAAATGGTAGCTTTTATTCTAGACTGAACTTTCCTTTAATAGGATAATACGCAAACTAATTGTAGTAGAATTCATTCATAAGAGTGGAAAAAATCATAATAGTAAAATAGAATATACATTGCATCTTATTGTTCCGGTATTTCTACAAGAACATTTTTGGTTAGGTAAGACTACTATTATACTCAATTTATAAATGAGTTAAGTAACTTGACCACGGTCATAAAACCTTAAGTGTCAGAGCTGAGCTATGAATCCAGAGTCTTTCTTTACACCTAGATTTACACGTGTCACTGATGTCTCACTACATCAACATTTTAACTCCTATTAGATTCCATTGTAATTAAAGATGAAAGACTATATGAAAACATAAAGAGGTGGAGGACTGTGTCATCTTTTAGAGTATGAATTTCATATTTAAACAATATTACTTCCTGCATGAAGTAATGACAGCATTTTCACACTTATATTTCTATCTATTGCTCTCATTTTAATTCCTGATTTTGTTATGCTATTTAGAATTTTAAAGCTGAATTTTTTCTCTTCAGCATGATTTGTGCAAATTATAATCTTATTTCCTATTGAAGTTAATACTCTCAGCTTCAGCATGACTTTTATAAGGAGGTCCTGTCCTTGTATTCTCTCTTGTTTGGCTGAATCTCATGATCATGTAACCACATCCCTCAAAATACCCATCTGCTGCTCCTTAGGACTCCTCACCACTCTTATGGAAAGGAATATTTGCCAGTAGCATTTATAATTGTAACACAAAGTAATTCTGTGTACAAATTGGAATTCATATACTGGGTTTTAGAGATGCTATTGAATATTCAAACCATTTTTAAAATTCCTTTTTTGTTTTCTGCTGGAAATCCCTAGCAATTCTTTGTTATCATAATTCCTCAGAATTTACCCTTAATGTATTGTTATTTTGAAAATATAGCTGTGTTAGAAAAAATTGTTATACTGTCTTTTTTGTATTTAGTGTTTGCCAATTCTCTCCTCTCATTTAAACAAAGCAATTTTTTTCTTCTTCTCTGTCATCATTTTATAAACATGGCAATTATATATTTGTTGAATCTCATTTAGCTAACTTTACTTCCCATTAGCATATCATTTTATAGACCCCCCCATACGTGTGTGTGTATGTCTGCGTGATGTTTCTCTCAGCCTGTCCTCTGTCTCTCTAGACACAGATTCAGTAGCACTCATTTTAGTTTATTTGTTGCTAATGTGACTTAATCGCTATGGTAAATCACCAGTTTCTTACGTGTATTCATTTAACTTTTTCCATCCAATTAATCTGCTGTTATCTCTGTTACTAAGCATTCATTTTTCACATGTGTATTTTGTATTCATCTTTTGGTTATGTTTCTTCATCAGCTCCCACATCTTTGTTTCCTTGAGCCTATGAAATAGTATTTTATTCTTCATAAAATGGGGAGATGGAGAAAGTTCTATGTTGTTACTGTTTTTAACAAAGAAAGTGTCATCTTTCAAAAAAAAGTTTGCCAGCCTCTCTCCCAAAACATAAACCCAAATCCAAGATGTGAAGTTCTGCAATATTTTTGGTGGATGAGTCAATTAATAGCTTAGGTTTGTAATCTAAAACAAGCCTGCTGTTGAAGTACAAAATAAGTGGTACGTAATATATAAATTATGGATAAGTGTGCTTTCAAATAAAATTTTGTCTACAAAATACAGACAGTGGAGTAGGATATGCAACACTGTCTCTTGCTCATTAACACTGTAGATTCAAGTGTGATAATTTTTTTTCTTAAAATCTAAGTAGAGTTATTCTGTCAAATAATTCCAGGTTTTTTTCAGCATTGTAATGACAAAATTCTAATGAATAGATTACCAATTATAAATCTTTCCCTTCCAGTTTTTAATGAAAGCACACATGCATTCAGCCACGTTTAAAAGTAGATAGTGGTATTGATAGGCTGATATGTTTTATACACTTATTTGATCTGTGTCTGAATATGGAAAGGAAAGAAAATATACAGTTCTAAAAGGGAAAGCTCCCAAAGTCATCAGTGTATGAAAAAATGAAGTTTAGGAGATGTATCATGACTATTTGCCATTTCCTGCTTCTGTTTGTACTGACCTTATACTTGATATGTCCTTCCTCATTTCCATCTCTAATGTCCCTTTTATCCAACATCCCTGATCTTCCTAATTGTAAAGATGTTGGATCTTTTAAGATCTATTGTGTAGTGTAGGTGTTTAGAGAGACTTTTCTCTTTATTAGATATTAGATCCTTAAAAACAAGTAGTGCGTGCTTCATTAATGATTCTATTCCATAGGATGTCAACACAGTTAATATCAAGCAAGTGGATGGGTGATGAGTAAGTAATAGTGAACAAAAGAGATAATTTAAAACAATTTTACATGGTTAGTTCACAGTTGTATATTTAATTGTAATTTTTAAAAAGGGGGTCAAGGCTGAAGAGATGGATCAGCAGTTGAGTGTGTTGTGTTCTTGGATCTGTGTTCATTTCCCAGCAGCCATATCAGGCAACTCACAACCACATGCAACTCTGAACCCAGGGTATCTAATGCCCTCTTCTTGCTTCTGGAGGCACTGCATATGTGTGCCCAAACCCACACTCAGATACATACACATAATTATGAATAAAAATGAAATATTTTGTTTAAAAATAGATGTATAAGAAAATGTGTGATTGTGAGTCAGGGAGGAAAAAATAGGAAATTTATAAAATAATAACAGACTGAGTACACTGTGCATTGATACATTGGAGATTAAATATGATTGTTGCAAGAACAAAATTAACTAAAAGAAAATATGTACGTATATGTGTGAAACTCATATACTTTATAATTCTTACACTTTTGGAATTATTAAGATTTGAATGGTGAAGATCAACCATGTTCTATAAGCTTAGAAAGAGATTCCAAAACAAAAATGAACAAAATGGATGTTTCAGAATTTTTGATACTTCTCATTATTAAATATTGCATTTCAACTTATTTCACAGGTATATACAGAATATTGGAATCATCAGATCCAGCATCTCTAAGAGATTATCACCTTGAATCAAGGATTTATTTGATATTCTTCTTAGACTTGACTTCATATCAAGGAACATTTTCAAAAAATATATTTGCTACAAAGGTGTCTTTAAAAAAAATCCTTTCCAAACTTTTCCAATGCCTAAGAACAGCAAAGTTGTAAAAAGAGATTTAGATGATGAGGTTATTGAGTCTGTTAAAGACCTTCTTTCTAATGAAGACTCAGCTGAAGATGCTTTTAAGAAGAGTGAACTAATTGTTGATGTCCAAGACGAGAAAGATGTTGAAGATGGAGCTGAAGTGGATGATGAAAGGCCGGCTTGGAACAGTAAACTGCAATACATCCTGGCCCAAGTTGGATTTTCTGTGGGTCTAGGGAATGTGTGGAGATTCCCTTATCTATGTCAGAAAAATGGGGGTGGTAAGTTGGTTTTGTTTGTTTTAATAATGAATGCTATGGTAGTAATTTGACTCCCATTGCTGTTGCAGTCTCATTGTTTCTGAAGCTGAATTCCATTGCAAAGCTGGGGAGACACATTTGCGGGAAGTGGGCCCAGCTCTGTGTTCAGATTGTTTCCATAGGAACAGACTGTCATCTTACAAACACTCAGGAATGCTTAAAAGTAGCATATTTTCAAACTCCTTTCCTGGATACTATAAATATCACTGAATTTCTGCTAGAACTTTTTTCTAACATGTAATGTCCTTTGGGCATGACATTTTAAAATTTGTTTTCAACAAGAACCTAAAGCTTCTAAGACAATACTGTAATGGTGATCGAATATCCTCCCTATGACTTATCACCTCTGAAATTTAAAAACAGGAAAACTGACATGCAATTTGGAATGATAACAGTTGCTAAATACTGGATAAAACTTTTAGAACTTTTGAGAGGTAATTAAGTCAGGTAATTAACATAATGCCCATCATTCTTTGTCTTTAGAAAATTTTTACCATTGATTACTGTGTATATTTGTGCACATAATAACCAAGCCCATCTTTCTTTCTTTCTTTCTTTCCTTCTTTCTCTTTTTTTTTTTCATTTGGTAGGGTCTCCTAGTCCCTACCTACCTGGAAATCACCATGTAAACCAGGTTGGCCTCAGTCTCATAGAGATTCACTTACCTCTGCCTCCCAATGGGTAAAGGGCCTGCTGTGGGAGCCTGAAGACCTGAGTTGGATCCTCAGCACCCATATAAAAACCAGGCACAGTGACATGCCTCTGTAAACCTAGTGTTGGTGGGGCAGAGACAAGAGGATCCCTGGAGCTTTCTGGCCAGCCAGCATAATCAAAGTGGTGAGATTCAGGCTTAGTGTGAGACCCTGTCTCAAAAAGTTAAGTCAGATTGATAGAGGAAGGTCCTTGATATCTACCACTGGCCTGTCCATGTTCTGCATGCTCATGCACAGGTGAGCAAACCCTCCCCACTCACACAGAAGATACATTCTCCCTTTCCTTCTCTCTCTCTCTCTCTCTCTCTCTCTCTCTCTCTCTCTCTCTCTCTCTCTCTCTCTCTTGCTCTAGCTCTCGCTCTCTCTCACACACACACCAACCCAATCCTACATATTCCATGAGTTATACTTATTTATCATACAAACATTAGAAGAAAGATCTTGATATTTCTGGTCTGTAATAGATTGGTTGACCAAACAAAAATATGATTTATTTTGCTATGTAATCCAAAATCCACATATCAAATGAAGTAACAAGATTCATATGGACTTTTATTTGTCACTAAGATTTAAAAACTAAGGTTAGTTATGGGATTAAAATATCTTTGAGTTAGTTAGATAATTCAACCAGGACCACACAGTAGGAAAAGTAGCCCATTTGACACATCTGCCCAAGAGGTAAGATTTAAACTGTATGTGAAGTGAGTGATGCTTATCCCTCAACAACAAATAAGGTAATTCCTCAGCTGATGTGTCAATAACATCACATGTGAATAATTTGTAAAGCCTCACCATTCATTTCATTTGCTGTGACTGGCACAATGTGAATTACGACTCTGAGACCTTTCACTGTGTACCTCTCTGAAGCTGCTGCTAAGGAAGAAGGCAGCTGCAGCTGAAAGGTTTCCTTCCTTTCAGTGTGACATATGTCTTGATGGAGCACTCTAAAACATTTCACATTTAGTTATTAGATTTTAGCAAGGCAAGTTCCTCCATCATCAAAATATTTTTCCTGTATTGTTTCCTCTCCTAGAAATGAAACTAGAGAGCACTATTACATGTATTATCAAATATAAAGCTGGATCTTAGATGGTCAAAGACTACAGCATAGCCTCTAGTTCTCTAGAAATTTGAGGAATGTCAAATTAGTAGTGTGTTCTCACATAAAGTGAATACACATAACTTCTTTTCCATCAATCAAATCTAGATTAGCATTGTTTTATTACATGGATTATAGCACTTATACTTTTAAAATAGGTATTCAGTGTGTTAGTTTTAGCTTTCCAAACACTCTTACCATCCCTTTGCATGATTTTGGAAAATGAAACATTTCTTGAGCTGTACTCTTTATGTGTAACATATATGGAAAAAAAATTCTTGTCTTTGTTAGAAGCTGGTTTTCTTTTCTATTTCTGTCTTGCAACCTAGACATTTGATTTCCTATGGTATTACATTATTAGAATACAAAAAGTTTTAGCGCAGTCAATTGCCTTGATCTAAATTTGTGATTTTGAACTGCAGAACTTAAACTAGTTCAGGTTAGCATTTAGTACATGACTTCATAAACATTATATGAAGATAAATTTGAGTTTGTGAAGTCTATTGGCAGACACAATTTTAAAGACCTGATCCTTTAATTTGCAAATGAAACTATTTCACCATTTGAATCAAACAAACTTAGGACTATTCATTAGTGTCTTTTAATCAAAATTATAATTCTATCAGGAATGCCTTTTTAAATATTTAAACTTTATTATTGTTGATTTTGTATGTTATGTGTATGATATGATGTGTATGCTATGGGGTGGGGTACACATACTTAGGTCAGAAGAAAACTTTCAGGAATCAGTTCTTTCCTTTCACTGTGGGTTCTGGGAGATCAAACTCAGGTCTTGAGGCTTGTGCAGCAAGTGCTTTTACCCTGTGCCATCTAGCTGACCCCAGGAACTACTTATATCAGTCAATTTCAGGTTCAAGACTTTTGAAAGCTTAAAGGAATTCAATTATATTTTTTCAAAGACCCCTCTAAGTATAGCCTATAAAAACCTCAAAATATCTTTCATGAGGTAATCAGAATCAGTATATACTCTATGACTATTGAAAATATGATAATTTTGTTTGTTCTTGTCTCTCTAGGTGCATATCTTTTACCGTATTTAATACTACTTCTGGTAATAGGTATTCCCCTTTTTTTCCTGGAACTTTCTGTTGGTCAAAGAATTCGGCGAGGAAGCATTGGGGTATGGAATTACATAAGCCCTAAACTGGGCGGGATTGGATTTGCAAGTTGTGTAGTAAGTTTCATTCTGTGATGCATGCTATAATTTTTAAGGACTTTGGAAGGATATAATTTACACCTAAATAAAACTCTGAATGTGTGTTTCTCTCCAGCTCTTTAATCCTGTTTTAGAAGCTGCTTTAGTAGAGCGTACTATACAAAACAAACTATAAATACTAACAGTAGTTCAATATAGTTAACCCATGGTCTAAGCTCTATTTGGAGGCATCATTTTTAAGAAAAGATAATGTGTTTCAAAAGAAAAATAAAATAAAGCTTTAAAAATGTTATGTGGAGTGAATTTCACCTCAGTGTTTTAGAGTAAGAGACAGGAGGTGCTTAAGGTGATGCTGTTCATTCATCTTGCAGGTGTGCTATTTTGTGGCTCTCTACTACAATGTCATCATCGGCTGGACTCTATTTTACTTTTCTCAATCTTTTCAGCAGCCACTTCCTTGGGATCAGTGCCCTTTGGTGAAAAATGCTTCGCATACTTGTAAGACATCTGAAGTGCAATGTTTCTGTATTTAAGGATGTAATGATTGGTAACAGTACAAACTTTCTTTAAAAAAAAAAAAAAAAAAAAACGCTGTGGGCGATAAGCATTGTAACAGATTTTCTTCTGTTTTGGGAGTGACCCAATCTAATATATGAACTTGATATCATAGAATTTTCCTGACTTTGTTTAAGTTGTTTTATTTTACCGATGATCTTAGATTGAAATCTTTCAGCTGCAAACCTTGTACACCTTGCGTGATGATTTATTTTCATCAAAACATACTAAAGGGAAGCAAAATAATAATTTGAATTTATTCATTTATTTGTTTATTTATTTATTTATTTATTTATTTGTTTTTTTATTTAGCCTTTTTAGGGTATCCCTGTAGTCCTAGCTGCCCTGGGACTCACTGTGTAGAGCAGGCTGGCCTCGAACTCACAGAGGTCCATCTGTCTCTGCCTCCCAAGTACTGGGATTAAAGACAAAATTTATTGGTTTTTTGCAAGGGGTTTTATTATTTTGTACTTTTTTTATTTTTTTAAATCCTAGAAAGTATAGAACCATTTCCTATAAAACACAACTCAGGTGTAGTTTAGAAATTTATGATAGTTACATTTAAGAAAGAAATATAAAATAGAAATATTTAATTCAATATGCTTAATATCACCATTGTAATCTATAGTTTATGCAAATATTATTCAAAATAATGCACAATTTTTATGCAGTGACCAAAGTTGTGCTTGAATTTTACATTTATAACACAACTCATTTTACTGTAACTTCATTTCAAAAGATCCCTGCGGCCAGCATCTGGCATATCTGACCTAACTGTCCTACCATGTCAGTCAAATAATTTGGGGAGTGGGAGGGGGGACAAAATTAATGTGTTTTAATTATTTTGATAAACAGTTCTCACAATCTTCAAGAATTCCTGATCAAAAACATCAAAATAGATACATGTCTTCTGATTTTCTCAGTTTTGCCAGTTTTTATTCTTCACTGTGAACTTGATACAGCTCTTGAGGGGAAGAAAAAATATTGCCTCATTAATATTGGTATAATCTGAGTGATTATATCTTATCTTTTTCCCCCCACAGTTATAGAGCCAGAATGTGAGAAAAGTTCTGCCACCACCTATTACTGGTACAGAGAAGCACTGGATATTTCCAGTTCCATTTCTGAAAGTGGAGGTTTAAACTGGAAGATGACTGTCTGCTTGCTGGCTGCCTGGATCATGGTTTGCTTGGCCATGATCAAAGGCATTCAGTCTTCTGGAAAAGTTAGTATGCTAGAGTCCTCCTGAGCACCATCCTGGGTACTGCCAATGACTCCCAGCTCTATCCCAAAACTGTATTAAAACTTCTTGTTACATGTCATTGTAGGTGGTTACAGATTGGACAAAGTGATGCTTTTTAAAATG